TCACACACACACACACACTCACACACACACACTCACACTCACACACACACACAGAGGCAGCCTGACAGCTCACTGCCTCTGAGCAGTGCCAGGGCCACCCCGGCTGTGCACAGAGCCAAGCCCACCCGTCTCAAGGCCGCCCGTCTCACCACGGAAGTTTTGTGGCAGCGCTCCGTGTGGGGCTGCAGCACTCCTGTCCCGGGGCAGCTGAGCCGGCCAGCGCTGTGTGTTGGGTGGAGGAAGGAGAGCTCGGGACAGCCCCAGCCTCGGCACGGCCTCAGGGAGCACGCTGAGCCTGCCAGGAGCCAGCTCTGCCCTGGCTGCCAGCACCCAGGGGCTGCCGCCCAGCACGGGCAGGCATGCCAGGGCACAGCTGGAATCCCACCCAGTGGATCCTGATCTGCCCAGGGCACACGGCCCTTGCTCCACCTGGGCCAATGGCTTTGACCAAACCCTAGCACGGCCCTGTCCCAAGCTGGCCCCACCGCCTGTGCTTGCCCCTAGCCTGGCAAAACCCTGCCATGGGGTGCCCCCCGTGCCTGGGGACCCATGGGCACACACAGCCCACGGGCACTGCCTCGGGAAGCCGGTGGCAGGGCTGGGTCCGGCTCCTGGGTCGGGGTAAGTGCCCGGAGGTGCTGTGCTGCTGGAGCTGCTTCCCTGCTCGCAGGCACCAGTGCCAGGAGCTGAGCCCTGCTGCATAGCCCAGGGGCCCTGTGGGGATCTTCATTTCCGAACCGCCCAATTCTTCCTCTGAGGAGTGCTGGGAACGGGACCTGAGGGTCTCTGCTGCTGAGGAGGCAGCACGGGCAGCGCCGCCTGCCTCCCTGGCCGCTCCTGCTGCCGCGGGAATGCTGCCGGCGTCCCGGCCGTCCTGCCTGCCTCCAGGATGGCCTTTTGTCCTCCAGGATCCTGCACCCAGGGTCTGTCTCCCTGCCACGCTCCCCTCTTCAGCCCGCAGCACCCTCCCTGCCAAGGCTGGGACATTGCTGCTGGACCCCGGGCAGCTGTGGGGACAGTCTGGCACTTCCCTGCTGTTGTCACCTCCCCTGGGTCAGGCACTTGCAGCTGTCCCTGTGGGGTGCTGGGGTGTCCCTAGCCCGATGCCGAGCATGGCTAACTCAGCCCCCAGAGCCTGCAGCCCCACAGGGAAGGGCAGGGTAGGTCAGGAACACGGCCCCCAGGCTCCAGGTGGGAGCACACCCCAGGCGTGGGCACTGCCAGCCCGGGCCAGGCCACAGCCCAGTGTCCCTGCACCAGTCCCAGCCCTGCCACCCCACTGTGCCCCCCGCTCCTGCCACAGCTGTCCCCACAGCCCGGACCACCTGGGGACACTGCAGTGCCAGGGGGTCTCTGCTGGCCGACGTCTGCCCGGGTGTTCTTGGCTCTGAAGGATGGCCCAGGATGTGGAAGACTCTGTTGCTGCTGCCCAAGTCCAGACGACATCCAAGCCCCCTGCCCAGCGTGGAGCCCAGAGCTCCTTGGCCTCCCAGGGACGGTTCCTTCTGTAGTGAAGCACAGGCTGATGGTTGATGACCATTCCTGGGCTTAGATTTCAGAGGTCTTTGTTACCCAGGTGCTTGTAACCCAATCTCTGGGGCTTGGCTTCCCTGCAGCAGATCCAACAGCACCTGTGCTTGGAAGGTGAGCCTCTGCCCACTACCATGGCCACCGGCAGCCACAGGGACCTGGCTGGCAGCTCAGACCCCCGATGCTCCCCACAGGACTACCACAGCCCCCAGGACAGCACAGCCCTTCTGCCACCAGCCCTGAGGCCCTGGGAGGCATCTCAGGACAGGTAGGGATGGATGGGGTAATTGGGAGGAGGTGAGAGAAGGCACCAAAACTCTTGAGGTCACCTAAGGAGAAGGAATAGAGTCTTGGTGACCTCGAGGAGAAATTTGCAAATATACTGGTGTGTACCAGACCCCACCTGAGACAAGGCTGGATCCCCTCAGACGCTCCCCAGGAGCCTTTGTGTCACCCCCTGCTGCCAACAGCTGTGCCAGGACAGCCCAGGGCTTGGGAGGAATGGGGCTGTGCCACTGCCTGGTCTCCAAGTGCTGCTCCCCAGCCCACCCAGCCACTTCGCTCCTGCTCAGCCCCTGCTCCCCCCAGTCCCAGGCTGCACCCCGAGCAGGATGCTGAGATCTGGCCAACCCGTGCTCCCTGCAGAGCTCCCGGTGTGGCACTGGGACAAACACAGCCCCCATGGATGCAGGGACAACCCGCTGCAGTGGCAGCATCCTGCTCTCGCAGGCAGGCCGGCCACGGGGCAGGCAGGCAGCGGGCAGGGGCGTCGGGCAGGGATCCTGCAGCTCCCACAGCCCGCGGACCGCTCTCCATCTCCCCGCGTGTCCGGGGCGCTCGGAGGTGACATCCCACCGCCGTGCCCTCCCCAGCCGTGCCCTAACAGCTGCTCTCGCCCCTTCCCCAGCACGTCGCAGGCGGGTGGCAGCCCCCGGGCCGAGGACCCGGGGCCGTGTGTCGGGGCGCACTCGCGCACCCCGAGCCGGGGCAGCCAGCGCGTCGAGTGCATCATCTGCTACTCCTCCTACGACCTGGGCGTGCGGCTGCCGCGGCGCCTCTACTGCGGCCACACCTTCTGCCAGGCGTGCCTGAAGCGCCTGGACGCGGTCAGCAACGAGCAGCGCTGGATCCCGTGCCCGCAGTGCCGCCAGAGCACGCCCACGCCGCGCGGCGGGGTCCCCATGCTGGACCTCGACCTGGCCGCCTTCCTGGCCCTCAGGGCTGAGCGGCAGCAGCCGCGGGCGGCCGGCAGCGCCCCGGCCTCGCCGCCCGCCAAGGCTGCCAAGGAGCCGGCGGGGCCCGAGCAGCCGGCGGGGCCGTGCCCGGAGCCGCTGCCCGCGGCGCTGCGGCCCCGGCGCGGCCGCTGCCGGCTGTGCCCGTGCTGCGGCGGGAGCGCCGCGCCGGACAGCTGAGCGCCGGGGCTGCTGCTGCGGACCTCTGCACGCCTCACAGCCGCGGGGACTGCAGCGGCAGCCTGGAAGGGCTTCAGCCCGGGCAGGGCTCCCCTGTCCGTCCTGTCCGCATCTGGGGCGCGGCAGCGGGGGATGAGGATGCTACCGCCCCCTCATCCTGCCCGTGTGCGCTGCCGCTGACTCAGAAACCTGGTGCAGCCATCACAGACGTTCCCCGCCCCGCAGCACAGCCCGGCTCGTGCTCCATTCCCCGTGCACGTGGCTCTGCAGCAAGGACAGTGGCACTGAGCATTGCCCGGCAGGCGACAGGGGCCTGGCACAGCGATGCCGTGGGGAGTGTCCTGAGAGCTCCAGGTCTATTAAAGACACTTCGGTCCCTCTGGGCTGCACATCTGGTCATGTTTGTTGGCAATCCTGGCCCGGGGCAAGCCCTTCGTGTGGTGAGTAGGGAAGTGACCTGCCCTGCTGGATTGCTGTGCTGGGAGTGTTCGCTCTGCTGGCCACCTGTGTGAAAAATTTTGGCATTCTGATAGTAGGATAGTTGAAATTGAGGATGACAGAGTTGTTAGGAGACCTCCAATGTTGCTCCAGCTACATTGCTCCGGTATGGGAGGAGAGCTGAGCTCAGGAAGCTCCTGCTTGGCCTCATGCTCTGTGGCTCATGCCAGGTTTGGCTCTCCCTGCCTGACCCTTTCCTCACACGCTGGCACACACAAACCCTGCTGCTGTTTTTCCAGTTGTGCCCTGCTATCTGCACGGCTTTCCCTGCCTGACTCCACACCGGGGTGCAAGGACAAGAACCCAGGCAGGTCTGGGTTAACAGGGGCCAAACTGGAAGTGCTGCGGTGCACAGGGTGATACTGAAATACTGACACAGCTCTTGGCCTGGGCTTGGTGTTGCCTGGCAGCTCTTGCAGTTCTTTCTCAGGGCCCATTTTCTGCATCTGTTTTCCATGTGGTTTATGAGCTCTTGCAATACCTCAACACCAGGAACCCCCTTAGGGCTCAGCAGAGGACCCCAGCCTGTGCCTCGCTGGGGCTGGCAGGGACCTTGTGTCTCCTGGGCTGTTCCCTGTGCTGGGGGCCAGGGCTGCAGCCGGAGGATTCCATCAGCCCTGCACAGCACCCACCCCTGCACAGAGCTCATGCACAATTCTGCCACTTGGTGTCACCTGCCATAAACAGTCCCAGCTGATACGTTCCCAGAAGAATAAACTTGGGGTGCCCCAGGGCAGACAGAGGTATGGCGTGGTTCAGAAATTACATGTGAGTTCTGCCTTGGACCTTTAATTACCTGGAACATGCAAGAAATTAAAGCCTTCAAGGAACGGATAAAAGCTATCACTGAGTCCTAATGCACCTTTCCCTCTATCTCCATTTCTCCCCAAAGACTCAACAGTGGGTGCTGGGAAGAATGCAGGAAGGGCCCATCCTTCCCTGCAGAGGTGCCAGCAGCTCTGTGCTCAGCCCAGCACCTTTGGGTCCCACAGCTGGGTGACCAAACCCATGGCTCTCTGTCCCACACCCCATGTCCCCTGCTTCCTTGCCTCCCCCCAGCACCAGAACCACTCTGCGGGGCTTGGCCCTTGCTTCCTTCCTCCATGGATGCCCTCCTGCTCCCAGCCAGTCTCTGAAGGAGAGATCATCCCTTCCATCACTCTGGGAATGCTTTTGGCACGCTGGCTGCATGCCCTGATTTGGCACCTCGGGCAGAGCAGGGCCAGTGCCAAGCCCTGTGCCCTGGGGGCTCCTCCCCTGGCACAGGCACCCGAGTGTCCTGGCAGAGCAGCTGCTGGGAGCAGCCGGTCCTGCCACATTCCTCGTGGAGCCCAGAACCTCAGGAAGGGGCATTGAGGAATGGTATCAGCACATTGGTGGGTGCTGCTCTGGCTGAGGACAGCGAACCTTGTGGGTTCTGGGTCCCCATGTTCCAGGGAAGGGACAGTGCCAGGGACCCAAGCAGCATGTGGAAATGGGCAGAGGTGGCAGTGCCAGCAGTGGGAATGGGCAGAGGTGGCACTGGCAGCAGTGGGAATGGGCAGAGGTGGCAGTGCCAGCAGTGGAAATGGGCAGAGGTGGCACTGCCA